TCAAGATATCTTTCAGATCTTCTAATTAGATCGCTATATATCTTTAAACCTTTTATATCATTAACGGGATCCTTTGAATCTTTAAGATAGTCAGAGATCGTTTAAGATGTTTTTGGCTGTGAAAAATGTATTTTTGATCTTTAACATCCTCAGAGATTTGCTAGATGTTATAAAATATCGTTACATTTTTTTTTCGATCTTTAAGATAATAAGAGGTCTTTTGTCTTGTTGAGATCTTTTCTGGATCTTTTGGATAGTTTGAGATCCAGCGAGCAGTTTCTTCTGTATTAAATCGTTTGAGATCTAAGCTTAAGTGGTTTGGTAATTTGGTCGTATAAATTAAAAGATGGCCTGACGTGTCATTCTAGTGCAAACTATCAGTGACGATGAATTCACCTCTAAAAACGGCACATGAAAAATGCAACTTGACATCAATTTATTTTGGTTTGTTTGTTTGGTTGTTGTTGTTGTTGTTGTTGTTGTTGTTGTTGTTTTTGTTTTTGTTTTTTGTTTTTTTGTTTTTTTGATTCACTCCCATGATTGAGGAAAAACCTTTGTAGGAGTCGTCACAAAATATTTTTCCTCCGTAATAAATTTTATCTTTTTCAAATTTCAGATGGATTTGGGCTCCGCCTACAAATTTGGGATACCGCTGGTCAAGAACGCTTTCGCTGTCTCATCCCATCTTACCTGCGTGACTGTCACGTCATTCTGGTGTGTTTTGACGTGACAAACTGTTGTACATTGGACAATGTGCCAGACTGGATTGAATTGGCGCAAAAGGAGAGATTTGGACGCATTAAAAAGCCATTGATTGTTCTGGTGGGAAATAAAGTGGACGAAAAAAGTTCACGGCAGGTGAGTACAAATCGTGACGTAGAATTTAAGGGACTGTAAGTGGAGCGTAGTGTTCTCTGAAAGATATCAATTTTAAAGTTCGAACAATGTTTTTGCTGTTGTTGATGTTGTTTTGTTGTAGATGCGTTTTTTGTTGATTTTGTTTTTTCCCTGCATTTCGCTGTATAGTAAGTATCGGATAAGCTTTAAGAGCGGTAGACCAGATATAAGTCTGCTTTGATAACGCTGCAGTGTGACTGATGAGAACTTAGGTTCAACCGATTGTCTAAATCTGCGGGAAAAAAGCGTTCTGGGCAACTCCGCTTCAAAAGTGGGTCTTGCGTAAGGAGCATCCTCGTAGATTGACTGTCAAGGAAAATAAGTCCTTGGCGCCATTCATCCGGAGGCTTTTACATCGTAATCCTCACACGATAGACAGAGACAGAGAGAGAAGGTCTGGTATCGATCTAATTTGGCCACCGTTGTATGTTTATTCAAGTTTTCAACTTGATTAAACACGACGAACGTCTTCAATCACTCACTTTCCTTTTCTTGAATTAAAGTTAAGGCCTTTAGAGTAAGAATGCTTTAATACAATTTGGTATCTTTTTTCGATACTTCTGCTATTTTATTTCATTCGCGTTAAACTTGATTCTGTGCGTCCCAGGGAAGGAACGGGCCCTGTGTTTGCGCGTCCTACGAAGGTTTTATGCGTATATACGCACGATTTGTGCGTAAACGCGAACCCTGGACCTTGAACGTCCTTTAGTCGTCCCACTTGGCTTATATGCAGACTTTTTTTACTTTTTTTTCTATTTTAGATTTCCTACGAATGTGCCAGCACCGTGGCTGACCTCTTCCAAATCCCGTATGTGGAGACCAGTGCCCTGTCCGGGTTTAATGTGGAGTTATTGTTTAGAAAGATAGCCAAAGACTTATACGTGGAAGAACTGGACAGACAGAGGCAAAATGAAGACTCTGACATCGACGAGGAAAAAAGAAAAGACAGAAAAGTCGTTAAGCTTGTTAAGACAAAAGAACAAAGAAAAGCTATTCCAATGAAACTTGATAGGTGTATGTGTAGTTGAAAATGGTTCAATTAAATAAACTTTGACGCAGTAATATTCCGTTTCATGTTTTTCTCGTACAAAATTTAATGAAGTTGAATTGCTTAAAACAGAAGCATTATAGACCTTTTCACGATTTCTGACGCCATCTTGCTTGGGGGCAAACACAGTAAAAACTGCGGTAAATGTATGGAAAAAGTTAAAAGTTTGATGCCCAATAAGTTGAGAGTGATTGACTCTCTGAGCATTTTATGAGTTACAAGGAACAGATACCCAGCAGGAAAGTCAAATTTGAAGAACATAGACATCGCTGTGAGGCAAGGGATTGCACTTTTAATTTTTCATACAAATATCTCTTAATTTTCCAGCGAACTGCGACTCGCTTTTACAGACAAATGTATGGAAAAATGAAAACCTTAATCGTGGCTTTTCTAGCGGGGCTATCTCCCTCAAATGCGATCAGCAAATTCTTATAAGTATGGGTCAGTAGTTAATTATTAATTCATGGCCACTTCAGAGCTCAAATTTTCCGTGGTAGACACTAGATTTTCCATTTCCCCCATACATTAATTGCAATGTTTGCTGTATTTGTCTCGAAACAAAATGGCGTTGGAAACCGTGAGAAGGTCTACTATACCTGGTGATATGGTTTCCATTCACGGTGTTAAACAACTTTAAATTGGAAGCAAAAACAAAAACAAACAAAATTCAAACAGAACAAACAAATAATAATAATAATAATAATAGTAATAATAGTAATAGTAATAGTAAAAGTAATAGTAATAGTAATAGTA